ACGCTCAGGCACAAGGGGTGTACTATTTGGACACTCCGGAGGGTCTTGTACGGCAGCCGATGACTTACGAGGAATGGATCAACGTGTCATCTGTGTATGACGCATGGTTGCAGGAGGCCCGGCACGAGCACGACGTGTTCGCACTCGCGATGAAGCAGAACGCGAAGGAGCTAGACACACGTCACTTCAACCAGCACGAGAAGGCTAAGTTCGACGAGGCCGATGCCGCCGAGTGGCGGCAATGGATCGCCAACAACACGGTCGAGCTGGTCACCGAGGAGGAGGAGAAGAGCATCCCAAAGGACAAGATCATCTCGGTGCCCATGCGTTCGGTTCGCACGAACCGGGGGCGAGGACTGGAGTTGGAGGCGAAGTCGCGCTTGATCATCCCTGGCCATCTCGACCCGCAGCTTGGTCTATTCAGGACGGATTCGCCTACTACTTCCCCTTTGGCCGTGCTGGTGTGTGTGTCTATCACAATGGCGATGGATTGGACATTTGAGTGCTTCGACGTAGTGACTGCGTTCTTGTCCGGGTTGAAGCTGGAACGGGAGCTGTATGTGAGGGCTCCCAAGGACGGGCTTCCAGCCGTCGACGGTGCTGGATGGCCAGCCGTGCGACCTTATGCGTTGCTTCGTTTGCTGAAAGGGGCGTACGGTTTGACGGAGGCGCCTCGGTTGTGGTATCTCCGAGCCCGCCAGGTGCTGACGGACGAGGTCGGCTTCGTGGAGCTGCGCTGTGCTCGAGCTGTCTTCGTTTATCGGGGAAACGATAAGTTGATTGCTATGTTGACCTTGCACGTCGACGACGGCATGCTGTTTGGAGACCCGCATGACCCCCAGTACCAGGAGGTGAAGGCGAACATCAACAGTCGTTTCAACATCAAGCACTGGAAGGAGGGCAACGACAAGGAGGCAGTCGCCTATCTCGGTGAGGAGTGGTGGCGCCACCCCGATCACATCGAGATCAGCACGCACGAATACATCGGCAAGCTGACAAAGTACCCCCTTGTAAGGGGTGACGACGAGGAGCGGGAGATGACTCCCGAGGAGCACCACGACTTCCGGAGCCTGCTCCAGAAGGTGCGGTGGCCTGTCGCACGCGTGGTGCCCCAGCTCGCGTATAGCGTCTCGGCGCTCGCACAGAAGGATCCGAAGGGTCGGAGGTTACTGCACCTGCGAGTGCTTAATGACATCATCGACCGGCTCCAGGACTACGACAAGAGAGGTCTTGCGACTCTCCGGATCCGCCGTGTGGACATCGAGCGCTTGCAGGTGCTCGCGCTTATGGACGCTTCGTTTGCGAAGGAACCCGGCTGTAAGAGCCAGATGGGGTTCATGAGTATGATTACGGATACCCGAGTGTTGAAGGAGCTAGCTGTATGTTGTCTAGTGGAGTTCCAGAGCAGTACTATTACACGAGTTGTTGGATCTACGATGGCCGCAGAGTCTGCGGCTATGTCCGTGGCTTTGGATCGGCAGCTTTACCTCAGGCTGCTGATTGAGGCAATCTTGCACGGGGAGCCGCCCTTGCAAGGGGACTGGAGGCTGGCGCTGAAGGTTCCGGGGGCGCTGGTGACGGACGCGAAGTCGCTCTACGACCACGCGTCCAAGATCGGCTCGATGCCGGTGTCTCGGCAGACCCTCATTGACTTGTTGGTGGCCAAGGATTTGATAGAGCAGGAGGCCATCAAGTTCAAGTGGCTGCCCAATAGCCACATGCTAGCGGACGTGCTGACAAAGGCCGTGCAGCCTAACGAGGTGCTATCGCAGTTCCTCCGCCACGGACTGTTCAGCATGGTGCCTACTGCTGAGCAAGAGGATGAGGAGGCACACCGTCTGCGGCTGCGCCGCGGACAGCGTGAGAGAGCCAAGGAGCGGAAGGCCCAGCGTCGGGTCGCCGTTCCAGGGCCTGCGAGCCCGTGAGGTCCTGATTGCAGCCGCTGATGGACCTAGTGAGGGCTACGGTGATGTATGCATATCTTTTGAGTTGACAGTCTGGATTAGTGGATCTAGACATTCATATTTTATATTTATATGTTGAGCCTCAGGCCGCATTTGCTTGAGGTGTTTCGGCCTGTGGGCTGATATACATTATAATTGCGTGCAGCGTTTCCCTTTCGAAGGGAGCGGCATCGGGGCAGCATTGTACTCACCCAGTGTGAAGAGTGCACTCCCCTGCCCCTCTGCCGCCCGTGCCACCGTGTGTGCATGATGTACACGCTTGTCTTGTTTTGTGGCATGCACGCTGCCCGCCGCTGTTTTGGCCCTAGTCCTAGGGCCCTGGGACGCACCCGCAGTTTTGACTGCCGCGCAGTCCGAGCTAAAAGAACTGCACTGACACATTCGAGTCAGAAGGCCGCCTGCCCAATAGTGGCCGCGGTTGGTTTGGGACAACATCTGTTGTTGGGCATTGTGCCCATTCTTTCCGTACCCATTTCGGGCGTCCAACTCGTTGCCGGCCCGCGGCGGCGGCCAGGGTCCAGGGCTCGTTTCGACTCCTCTGGTTCGATTCGATGCGACTTCGATGGCTTCCGACTCCGAGTCGATTCGGCTTCGGATTCCGACCCATATCCGGCGTCCAAACCCGAGGGCTACTGGCCGCCGAGGGCCGCCGAGGGCTTCCGAGAGCCTCCTCGGGCCCGGCACCGCCGCCGCTCGCGGGCTCGCCGCCGCCCGCCTAGGGGCCTGCGAGGGGCGGCGCGCCGGACGAGCCGTGGTCAGAGGAGCATCAGGAGGAGAGAAAACTTGTTTGATCTGCGGGTCGAGAGCGAGAAAACACACAGAAGCCAGTCATCGTCAGCTCCCAGGAGAAAGTGTGGAAAATATGGGACGTGGGGGGGAAGACGAACTTTTCGGGTCGAGAGCGCACCTCTTCCGGTCGAAGCTAAGCGGGCCGCGCACAGCTTTCATTGACAGAGAAGGGAAGGCAGAAGGAGGGGCCTCACGTCAAGGCCAGGAGGGGGCAAAGCCTCGGGATCAGGCGGTGCCGAAAGCGAAGTGCATGCAAAGGAACGCCTGGTACAGGAACCCGGTGGCGAAGTACCGGCAGAAGCAAAATGCTGTGGTTGGTTTGCCGTCCACGGCTCATCATGTACACAGGAGAGAAAACACACAGACGCAATTCATCGTCAACTCCCAGGAGAACGTGTGGGACATATGGGAGGGGGGAGACGGACACCCAGAAAATGTATGAGGAAACCGTGGGAGTCATTGGATGTGTGTCTATTTCTTTGTGTATCCCAGGACCCCTTCAGATCACGGGATTACTGGGCGCGTTCCGCTGCTCGCATATGGTCAACGCGCAAACGTCCGAAGGGATAACGCATGAGATGTTCGCCTCGATGTAGCGGATCGTAGAGCCCCCGCCACGGATTTGGGCAGTTTGCGAGCAGTTCTTCTTGCGAGTAGTGGAGCGCGCTTGTCTGGGGGAGTAAGATCCGGGTAAGCAGAGGATCGGCTCGCCGTGGCTCGGACGTCCATTCTCGTGCATTTGCCGATCTCGGGTGCTTCTCTCTTTCGCAAGGGGATCCTCGCCTCGGCTTCTCGATGGAGGAGGAGGAGGAGGAGGAGGAGGAGGAGGAGGAGGAGGAGGAGGATCCAAGATGCTCCTCGATGGTCCTCGCCTTCAGTTGGCTGGGCTCTTCCAGCCCACCTTGTTGAGAGGCCGACCTGCCGGCCGCCCGGGAGCACGCCCAGGAGACAGCTTCTCCTCCTCCTCCTCCTCCTCCTCCTCCTCCTCCTCCTCCTCCTCCTCCTCCTCCTCCTCCTCCTCATTCGGGTTCCTGGAAGGCGTTCTCAACTTCTGGAGGTCGCTTTCGGGTCCTGGGGCCTTCGAAAATGGGAGGGCAAAGTGGGAAGGACGGGCTTCGAGAGGAGAAGTGTTCAGGACGGTCTCCAGGAGGGGTCTGGGGCCAAGGTTTTGAGCGATCTTGCCCAGTCTTGGCCATCTGTCGGCTGCACGCAAGAGTGAGCCTCTGCCGGAGCTGTACTCTTGTCCCCCTCCGTCCACCTATCCTCCGAGATGGATCAGATAGTGCTCACAGCCGTTGTGGCTTTCAGTGGCGCGTGTATCGTACCAATAGATCTTTGAAGGTGGCAGTTTCGCACCGAGAGGAAAACAGTCGCCGCTGCATCTGCTATGCCCGCCGAAGATGATCCAAGTCTTGGCATCGCTCGGACGTGTGCATTTTCTTTATCGGCGAGGACCTTCGAGGAGCATCCTCGACCATCTCGCAAAAAAAAACGCACTATACCAAAAAATGCACGGGGAACGGACGTCCGAGCGACGGCAAGAAGCGTGTCCCACAGAGGGGCCTCCGGTGCGGGCCCGCTGGGGTCCCGCGATCGCTGCACGCGATGTTGTGGCAACGGCTTGCGTTGGGTTCCCCTCCGCGCCCCGTATCACAGTCAAACCGCACTGTTACGGGACGTGAAAACGACCACAGCCACTGCTTCTCTTTTGCTGCCGCCTCCCAGCCAGCAGAAACAGAGCAGTGGTTGTTGTCATTTTCGTTAAGCTCGGCACCAGGAAAATGACCACAGCCACTGCCTTCTTTTTCGGCCGGCTGGAAGGCGGCGCAAGCAAGAAGCAGTGGCTGTGGTCATTTTCCCGTCCCGCAACTGTGAGGGTGAGGAACCTTCCCGAAGTCGTTAAGATTGAGCTTGTGTGTCTGGGGCTTCTGTTCTGGTCTTTGGCTGTGTGCTGTTGCACGTGTTCAGCTCGGGCGTCCGAGCTCCTTTTCGTCCTTCTCGCGCACTCTCCGGACCCAGAGTTCACTGCGGGCCTGCGCGCCACAGGCCACGCCCGATGTGGCCAGTGGTGCCCACCGCGAGTCCGCGGCGATGGCCGCCGAGGGCCGCCGAGGGTCCGCCGAGGGCCGCCGAGGGTCCGCCGAGGGCCGCCGAGGGTCCGCCGAGGGCCGCCGAGGGTCCGCCGAGGGCCGCCGAGGGCCGCCGGGGGTCCGCCGAGGGCCGGCCGAGCAGCGCCGCCGCCCCCAGGCGCGCGGGGGGTGCAGGCCGCTCCACGGCGCTGCCGCACGGCCCGAGGCGGAGCCGCCGCCGCCCGCCCGGGGGCGGAGGCTCTCGGCGACGCGGGCGGCCCCTCAAATCGCCGACGAGAGCTGCCTGGTCGTCTCGGACTGCGGGCAGTGCCAGGGCGCGACCACGGCCACGGCCACGGCCACGTCGTCGTCGACGACGACGACGACGACGAGGGCGGCGGCGGCGGCGGCGGCGGCGACGGCGAGAGCGGCGTCGACGACAGCGATGGCGGCAGCGGCGTCGACGACGACGACACGGCGCGCAGGGGAGCCTTGGCGCCGATCCGATCGATCTGGTTGGAAACCGGTTCCGGCCGGCCCATGTCCGATCTGTTTTCGCCCTTCGGTCGATCCGATGCGGCCCGACGCGTGCGTGGCGCTGTTGTGCATCGTGACGCGGCCGAGTCGATTCGATGGTGACTCCGTGCCGACGCAGGCCGATCTGGAGATCGATGTTGCAGGACTGAAGGGAGGTTTCTGGACGTCCGTGGTCGTGCTGGACCAGCTGGAAGGCTCAGGAGTGTTCTTTGGGGCCCATTTCCTGCAAGAAGCGGCGCTTCCTTGAGGAAGCGCCCTAAGCGGTGACCCCCAGTGGCATTTCCGCAGGACTCGAGCGGGGGTCTCTACATGCTCGGTGTCGGCCAGAACGTCTCGCTCAGCCCCGACCAGGCGGCGGCCGGCGAAGAGCGAGCTCCATGAGCGTAAATTTCGGGAGTTCCGTCCTCCTCCTCCTCCTCCTCCTCCTCCTCCTCCTCCTCCTCCTCCTCCTCCTCCAGTTCTCGGGTCGGCGCCGTGGCCCCCAGGGTGGCGCCTCCCGCGCGGCGCTCTGCGCGCCAGGGAGGGGGGGGGGCCCAGTGCCCAGTGCCGACCCGAGGAATCCGCGCGGACCCACGTTTGAGTCGGGCGTGTCCCCCTACAAAGTGATTTTCGACGACAAATTAAGAAATACCCCCAAAATGCACCAAAAAGGTCAAGAAATAGTAAAAAAATAGTCCCCAGACTATTTCTGGATTATTTTTTTATTATTTTCAGGGTACTTTTTATTTTTCGTCGAGAATCCCCCTGTAGGGGGACAGGCCCGATTATTCCCGGAAAGGGCTCGAGCCCAGGGTTCTCTTTTAGTATGTAAACATAGTCCCCCGGTGCCTGCTTGAAGGAGGCCGGCGAATTGCCGGCGAATTTTTTCCCTGATAAATAACGAGGTCGAAGGAGGCCGGCGAATTTTTCCCTGATAAATAACGAGCCCGAGAATTAAAATTTGAGGATGTCTCGAGCGAAACGCTTGTTTTTGAGGCCGGCGAATTAAAATTTGAGGATGTCTCGAGCGAAACGCTTGTTCCCGGAAAGGGCTCGAGCCCAGGGTTCTCTTTTAGTATGTAAACATAGTCCCCCGGTGCCTGCTTGAAGGAGGCCGGCGAATTGCCGGCGAATTTTCCCTGATAAATAACGAGGTCGAAGGAGGCCGGCGAATTTTTCCCTGATAAATAACGAGCCCGAGAATTAAAATTTGAGGATGTCTCGAGCGAAACGCTTGTTTTTGAGGCCGGCGAATTAAAATTTGAGGATGTCTCGAGCGAAACGCTTGTTTTTCAGAAAATGGTGAGGATGTCTCGAGCGAAACGCTTGTTTTGTGTTATAGATTGTCCTCTCCTGGGGACCTGAATTCTGAGGACCACCTCCCAGCACGACCACCCCCCCAGCACGACCACCCCCCAGCACGACCACCCCCCAGCACGACCACACCCCAGCACGACCACTCCCCAGCACGACCACACCCCAGCACGACCCCACCCCAGCACGACCCCACCCTAGCACGACCACACCCCAGCACGATCACACCCCAGAACGACCACACCCCAGCACGCACGACCCCACCCCAGCACGACCCCACCCCAGCACGACCACACCCCAGCACGACCACACCCCAGCAGGACCCCACCCCAGCACGACCCCACCCCCGGCACCCCAGCACCACACCCCAGCACGACACACCCAGCAGACCTCACCACAGCACGACCACACCCCAGCACGACCACCCAGCCCAGCGACCACTCCCCCACGACCACCTCCCAGCACGACCCCCCCAGCACGACCACAGCTGACCACCCCCCCGCACGCCACACCCCAGCACGACCACACCCCAGCACGACACCACCCCAGCACGACCCCACCCTAGCACGACCACACCCCAGCACGATCACACCCCAGAACGACCACACCCCAGCACGACCCCACCCCAGCACGACCCCACCCCAGCACGACCACACCCCAGCACGACCACACCCCAGCAGGACCCCTCCCCAGCACGACCCCACCCCAGCACGGCCCCACCCCAGCAAGACCACACCCCAGCACGACCACACCCCAGCACGACCTCACCACAGCACGACCACACCCCAGCACGATCACGCCCCAGCACGACCCCCCCCAGCACGACCACTCCCCAGCACGACCACCTCCCAGCACGACCACCCCCCCAGCACGACCACCCCCCAGCACGACCACCCCCCAGCACGACCACACCCCAGCACGACCACACCCCAGCACGACCACACCCCAGCACGACCCCACCCCAGCACGACCCCACCCTAGCACGACCACACCCCAGCACGATCACACCCCAGAACGACCACACCCCAGCACGACCCCACCCCAGCACGACCCCACCCCAGCACGACCACACCCCAGCACGACCACACCCCAGCAGGACCCCACCCCAGCACGACCCCACCCCAGCACGGCCCCACCCCAGCAAGACCACACCCCAGCACGACCACACCCCAGCACGACCTCACCACAGCACGACCACTCCCCAGCACGATCACGCCCCAGACCACGCCCCAGCACGACCACTCCCCAGCACGACCACCTCCCAGCACGACCACCCCCCAGCACGCCACCCCCTGCACGACCACCCCCCCAGCACGACCACACCCCAGCACGACCACACCCCAGCACGACCACACCCAGTCGCACCCCCGTGGAATGTTTCGTGGGTGTCGCGTGGAATGTTTCGTGGGGTGTCTCGTGGAATGTTTCGTGGGGTGTCTCGTGGAATGTTTCGCGGGGTGTCTCGTGGAACGTTTCGCGAGGTGTCTCGTGGAATGTTTCGCGAGGTGTCTCGTGGGATGTTTCGCGGGGTGTCTCGTGGGATGTTTTGTGAGATGTCGCCCAGTTGGGTATCGTGAAAACGTGACCATGCTGCGCATGTCTATATCCCTTTCCGGGTTCGTGGGTCCATCATGTTTTTTTCCCGGAAAGGGCGTGGGCCCAGGGTTCTCTTTTAGTATGTAAACATGTCCCCGGTGCCCAACTTGAAGCAGGCCGGCGGATTCTTTCCCTGATAAATGAGGTCGAAGGAGGCCGGCGGATTAAAATTTGAGGATGTCTCAGGCGAAACGCTTGTTTTTGAAATCCCGATCGATAAATCACAGGGTGCGGGAAACACCTCAGCACGACCACACCCCCAGCATGACCACACCCCAGCACGACCACGCCCAGCACGACCACGCCCCAGCACGACCACACCCCAGCACGACCACACCCCAGCACGACCACACCCCAGCACGACCACACCCCAGCACGACCACACCGCAGCACCAGCACGACCCCACCCCAGCACGACCCGATCGATAAATCACAGGTGCGGACCACACCCCAGCACGACCACACCCCAGCACGACCACCCAGCACGACCTCACCCCAGCACGACCACGCCCCAGCACGACCACGCCCCAGCACGACCACGCCCCAGCACGACCACACCCCAGCACGACCACACCCCAGCACGACCACACCCCAGCACGACCCCACCCCAGCACGACCCCACCCTAGCACGACCACACCCCAGCACGACCACACCCCAGAACGACCACACCCCAGCACGACCACACCCCAGCACGACCCGACCCCAGCACGACCCTACCCCAGCAAGACCACACCCCAGCACGACCACACCCCAGCACGACCACACCACAGCACGACCACACCCCAGCACGACCACGCCCCAGCACGACCACGCCCCAGCACGACCCCGCCCCAGCGTACGCCACGCCCCAGCACGACCTATGCCCCAGCTCGACCAAACCCCAGCACGACCACCCCCCAGCACGACCACCCCCCAGCACGACCACCCCCCAGAGACCACACCCAGCACGACTCTCCCCAGCACGAACCACACCGCCTTGGTTGTAGTGGTTGCCTGTCGTCGTGGAACGTTCTCGTGGGGTGTCTCGTGGAAGTTTCGCGGCGGTGTCCGTGGGGAATGTTTGTGAGGTGTCTCGTGGACGAATGTTCTTCGTGTCTCGTGGGATGTTTCGTGAAGTGTCTCGTGGGATGTTTCGTGAGGTGTTGCCCAGTTGGGTATCGTGAAAACGTGTCCATGCTCCACATGTCTATATACCTTTCCGGGTTCGTGGGTCCATCATGTTATTATTCCCTGCCTAGGCTCTGCCTAGAAGGGTTCTCACTCTCTTGGCTTAAAGGGGCTGGGCAGTGCACACCGCCCCGGGCGGTTCCCCCAGTCCCCTGGGAGCCAAGCAAAAGCAACATCAAAGGTAAAAGCAAACGCGCGGTTCCCCCAGTTGCGCTCCCTGGGTGCCAAGCAACAGCAAACGCAAAAGCAAATGCAAAAGTGAAGGCAAAAGCGAAGGCAACGCAAAAGCATAGCATAGCATAGCATAGCATAGCATAGCATAGCATAGCATAGCGCAGCATAGCATGGCATAGCATAGCATAGCATATCCTAGCCCAGCCCAGTATAGCATTGCGCAGCAGAGCAGAGCAGAGCAGAGCAGAGCAGAGCAGAGCATAGCATAGTATAGTATAGCATAACGCAGCACAGCATCCACCATTGCTGCTGTATATATAGGTATATATATAATGTGTGTGCGCACGACGTATGTTCCATGCATGTTGTCCGTCCGTGGGCACTGCGCACGATGAGGAGAAGGAGGAGGACGGCGTTTACCGCTCCTACTAATGTTGCTTTCCTAGAGGCTCCAACTCCTAGGTAGGGTCGCACTGGGATAATTTTTAGGGTGCTTTTTTATTTTTCGTCGAGAATCCCCCTGTAGGGGGACAGGCCCGTCTTAAACCCATGTTTACGCATCGACCCCCAATAACTCATTCAGCGTCGATAGGGGCCCGATAGCCTACCGCCCAGGACCGTGCGGACTCGCTATCGGGGGCCTATCGCCAATTCCAGGTCGATGCCCCCCCCCGAGCCATTCCCCCCCCCACGTTGCCCCTCCAGGTGAGCACTTCCCAGGGAGGCAGCCGAAAGGGCTGGGCCCTCGTGACGATCGACGGCTCGACGCTGGAGTGCCGGGACACCAGGAACGCGTCGGCGGAGGATGCGTGCGCCGAGTACTTGGGCAGCCAGGGCTGCGGCTGGACCAAGAACTATGGCTGCCCTGGGCAGGCCAAGGGCGCCTCTGGCGACGCAGAGGACGACGGCAGCGTCGGGTACCTGTGCTGCTGCACCAAGGAGGCCTGGAAGCAGGAGCCTGGCACCGAGGCCGCCACTCAGCTGCAGGTGGACGCCACGGTGGGCGCAGGCACCGCCGCGGCCCCCGACACCACGCCTGGCGCCACCACCACCGCGGCGGATGCCGACGCCGCGACGGCCGAGACCACGACCGGCTCCGACAGCACCTCGGCGGCGACCACGGCCAGCGCCGCTAGCACCGCGCCCGACACCAGCAGCAGCAGCGCCGCGGCGCCGGCCGACGCCGCGGCGGTCAGCACCACGGTGGGCGCCGGCAGCACCGCACCCGACACCACGGCCGCCGCCAGCAGCAGCAACAGCAGCAGCAGCAGCGGCAGCAGCAGCGGCAGCACCGCGGCGGCGGCCGACGCCGCGGCGGGCGGCACCACGGCGGGCACCGGCAGCACAGCGCCCGACACCACGACGGGCGCTGGCACCACCGCGGCCGACGCCGAGGCCGACACCACCGCGGACGGCACCGAGGACGAGCTGGAGGGCAAGGCCCTGATGTTCGGCGGCGCGGTCGTCGGCAGGCGCGGGCGTGCGGGCGCGTGGGGCGCAGGCCCGGCTGGGTGGGCCAGCCTCGCAGGAGCTGGGCGGCGCGCAGAGCGACGGCGACGCCGACGTCGCCGCGACGTCGTCGTCGTTGTAGTCGTCGGCGTCGTCGTCGTCGGTGTCGTCGTCGTCGTCGTCGTCGTCGTCGTCGTCGTCGTCGTCGTCGTCGTCGTCGTCGTTCACTTCCACGTCCACGTCCACGACTTCGTTTCGGAGGTTGTTTGAAGTTTCTGGAGGTTCTCCTCGCCATGGCCAGACTCTGGGGCGGCCCTCGAAGAATGCAGGGGGCGTCTAAGAAGCCCTCCTTGCATGTTTGTTTGGAAGTCTTCCTCGAAGAAGAACAAGAAGAAGAAGAAGAAGAAGAATAATCATCGCTATAAGCATAAACTTTTGGCGCTCCGTGCGGATTTCCTGGATCCACGCTGGGCCCCCCCCGGCGGAGGGTGGTCAGCGCAGATCCAAGAAATCCGCACGGAGCGCCAAAAGTTTGTGGTGATGCCGTTTTTGAACTTTCTACTTCCAGGGCTTCCCCTGGACGCAGCAAAGCTTCCAGAACGCTGCCGACGACGACGACGTGGTACGCTCGAAATTGGCTCCCAGACCTGTCCAGAGGTGCGCTCTGATCACAATCTCGAGGCGAGTCCAGCCGCGGTGGCGAGAGCGCCCCAGGAAGCACCCCTAGATGTCGAATAATTTAAGCTCGTTTTGGCTGTCGTCGTCGTCGTCGTCGTCGTCGCCGCCGCCACCGCCGCTGCCGACGAGTCGCCGATTTCCCAGACATATGATGATGTGCTGTTTGCTTGATCGGAAAATGGAGCATATATATATATATATATATATATATGCATTACCAGTGGCGGGCGGTTTTTCAATCCCAAGACTTTTTGAGGGTCGGGGACGACGTCGGGGTGGTGTGGTGTATACTTTTTCTCCTTGTTCCCGGGGAAGCAGCGAAGAATGTATACACCAGGATCCCGTATGCACCAGAATCCGCGCTCCCGTGCGAATCTCCGCGCAGGGCCCGAAAAAGCGTCGGCGTATATAGAGAGATCGTTTCCCCACTTGACAAGCCACGGGCCACAAAGGTCCTGATTAGGGGAACAAGAAGTGGCATAAACATAAAAACTCGGAGGTCCGCGTGGATTTCTCGGATCGGCGCTGGGGCCCCCCGGCGGCGCCTCCGGCGCCGCCCCTGGCGCGCTCCGCGCGCCAGGGAGGGGGGGCCAGCGCCGATCCAAGAAATCCGCGCGGACCTCCGAGTTTTTCCCGGAAAGGGCTCAGGCCCAGGGTTCTCTTTTAGTAGGTAAACCTGTCCCCCGGTGCCAACTTGAGGGAGGCCGGCGAATTTTTTCCCTGATAAATAACGAGGTCGAAGGAGGCCGGCGAATTAAAATTTGAGGATGTCTCGAGCGAAACGCTTGTTTTTGAAATACCGATCGATAAATCACAGGGTGCGGGCCACTTTTTCGTGTGTTGAGGATGTCTCGAGCGAAACGCTTGCTCCGCAGAGTTTGCCGAGGAGGTCTCGAGCGAAACGCTTGTTTTGCAGAGCCGACCGCGACGCGGAAAAGCGCCCCGCGCGAAGGAATTTCGATGATGTTTCGACTAATTTGTTTGTTTTTGTACGATTTCCTGGAATTTTGGCAGGATGTCTCGAGCGAAATGCACGACCCCACCCCAGCACGACCACACCCCAGCACGACCACACCCCAGAACGACCACACCCCAGCCCGACCCCACCCAAGCACGACCCCACCCCAGCACGACCACACCCCAGCAGGACCACACCCCAGCACGACCACATCCCAGCAGGACCCCACCGCAGCAAGACCACACCCCAGCACGACCACACCCCAGCACGACCTCACCACAGCACGACCACACCCCAGCACGACCACGCCCCAGCAAGACCACGCCCCAGCACGACCACGCCCCAGCACGACCCTACCCCAGCAAGACCACACCCCAGCACGACCACACCCCAGCACGACCTCACCACAGCACGACCACACCCCAGCACGACCACGCCCCAGCACGACCACGCCCCAGCACGACCACACCCCAGCACGACCACACCCCAGCACGACCACACCCCAGCACCACCACACCCCAGCACGACCACACCCCAGCACGACCCGATCGATAAATCACAGGGTGCGGAGCACCCCAGCACGAACCCACCCCAGCACGACCCCACCCCAGCACGACCCCACCCCAGCACGACCACGCCCCAGCACGACCACACCCCAGCACGACCACCCCCCAGCACGACCACTCCCCAGCACGACCCCACCCCAGCACGACCCCACCCTAGCACGACCACACCCCAGCACGACCACACCCCAGCACGACCCCACCCCAGCACGATCACACCCCAGCACGACCCCACCCCAGCAAGACCACACCCCAGCACGACCGCACCCCAGCACGACCTTACCACAGCACGACCACACCCCAGCACGACCACGCCCCAGCACGACCACGCCCCAGCACGACCACGCCCCAGCACGACCACGCCCCAGCACGACCACGCCCCAGCACGACCACCCCCCAGCACGACCACCCCCCCAGCACGACCACCCCCCAGCACGACCACCCCCCAGCACGACCACACCCCAGCACGACCACTCCCCAGCACGACCACACCGCCTTGGTTGAGTGGTTGCCTGTCGTCGTGGAATGTTTCGTGGGGTGTCTCGTGGAATGTTTCGCGGGGTGTCTCGTGAAATGTTTCGTGAGGTGTCTCGTGGAATGTTTCGTGAGGTGTCTCGTGGGTGTTTCGTGAGGTGTCTCGTGGGATGTTTCGTGAGGTGTTGCCCAGTTGGGTATCATGAAAACGTGTCCATGCTCCACATGTCTATATCCCTTTCCGGGTTCGTGGGTCCATCATGTTATGTTTATGCCACTTCTTGTTCTCCTAACCCTTCCGCGGGGACGAGGGGCGACGAGGGCCAGGGCAGCTCGCGGAACCCATGGGCAGATGTCATCCGATGGTCGCAGACGATTGCTCTCCCCTTCTCCCCGAGTTCCGCCCGCAAAGTTGGTCAGGAGGAAAAGAAAAACACAGACACAATTAATCCTCCATTCCCCAGAAGATATGGGAGAATATGGGAAGTGGGGGGGAAGACAGAAACCCAGAAAATATGCGAAAATATTGGGAATCCTGCTATTTGTGTGTATTTATTTGTGTGTCCCAGGGCCCCTTCAAAGTTTGGCCGCTCAAAGAAGAGGGCAGACCCTGGGGTACACCCCAAGGGGGCTACTCGGACGCACCCCTGTCGAGGAAGGACGCCCCCCCCTCGTATATCCCAGGGTTGGGGCCAAAGTTGCTGGTCAATTCGAAAACCCCACGAAGCCTGGGATAGGGGTCGACATATCCCTTGTTCAGTGGGCGACGCGAGATGCGGAGCAACGTGCGTCAACACTGTGAACTCGTGATTTGATCGAGGAGCGCCGCAAATCGGCTTGCAAATGGCTGCAGCGAGCGTGTCCGGATGGGCGCTCATGGGAACCGGCTGGCAGCACGCCTCGCCCGGAGGGGCTGCGCACTCAGGAGCTGAAGGCGCCCAGGCGACTCCGCGCTGCCCGTCTCGGGCCGTCCTCCGGGCCGAGGAGGTGGGTCCGTCCGTCCGTCCGCTCCCCGGGGGCAGGGGCAGCCCTTCGCCCCAGCTCCGCTCCTGGTGGCCCAGGGGCCGTGGCCCCGCACCAGCCGAAGTCGAGGAACAACCGCCAGGTTCGGCAAAATCAATCCGTCGTCGTGGTCGCCGCCGCCGCCGCCGTCGCCGAGTCGTCGTCGTCGTTGTCGTCGTCGTCGTCGTCGCCGTCGTCGTCGTCATCGCCGACGACGTCGTCGTCGTCATCGCCGACGACGTCGCCGAGACGACGTCGTCGCCGCCGCCGCCGCCGTCGCTGAGACGACGTCGTCGTCGTCGTCGTCGTCGTCGTCGTCGTCTTCGTCGTCGTCGTCGTCGTCGTCGTCGTCTTCGTCGTCGTCATTGTCGTCGTCGTCGTCGTCTTCGTCGTCGTCTTCGTCGTCGTCGTCGTCTTCGTCGGCGGCGGCTGCGCCGCCGCTGGCGAGGAGCGGCGCTGCTGGCCGCCGCCCTCGCCGTGGTGCGCGGCCGCCGCGCGCCGGCGGAGCGCTACGCAGCCCTCGACGAGGCTCGGGCAGCGGTCGAGACTCGAAGCCGGGCCTCCACGTCGTCGTCGTCGTCGTCGTCGTCGTCGTCGTCGTCGTCGTCGTCGTCGTCCTCGTCGTCCTCGTCGTACTCGTCGTCCTCGTCGTCCTCGTCGTCCTCGTCGTCCTCGTCGTCCTCGTCGTCCTCGCCGTCCTCGTCGTCCTCGTCGTCCTCGTCTTCGTCCTTGTACTTGTCCTCGTCGTCGTAGTCGTTGTCGTCCGGTACCCAGGCCCCCCCCAGATTGGACATATCACGTCGTGGCGTGGGACTCCCGCGGGAAAGCGTGCTCCTAGGCCTCCCAATTGGGTGCGCCGCGTCGCTGATGCATCGGCGATGCGGTTCAGTGTGGAGCCCGGTTTTCTCCACGCCAAAGTCGCCGATGCATCGCCGACGTCACCGATGCGGCGCGATCTCCTCCAAGAGGAGGGGGAAGAGGAGGGGGAGGGGGAGGAGGAGGAGGAGGAGGAGGAGGAGGAGGTGGAGGAGGAGGAGGGCAACATGGGGAGGAGAGGAGGGAGGGGGGAGGTACGATTAGATGAGGTAGAGGGAGGGAGGACGTTGGAGGAGGAGGAGGAGGAGAGGGAGGAGGAGGAGGAGGTGATGGAGGAGGAGGAGGCGGAGGGGGAGGGGAGTGGGAGGAGGAGGGGGAGGAGGAGGGGGAGGAGGAGGAGGAGGAGGGGAGGAGGAGGAGGAGGAGGAGGACGGCAGGGGGAGGGAGGAAGAGGAGGAGGAGGAAGAAGCGGAGGAGGAGGAGGAGTAGGAAGGAGCATGAGGAGGCGGAGGAGGAGAGAGGAGGAGAGGAGGAGGAGGAGGAGGAGGAGGGGGCGGAGGAGAGGAGGCGGAGGAGGAGGAGGAGGAGGAGGAGAGGAAGAGGAGGAGGAGGAGGAGGAAGGAGGAGTAGGAGGAGGGGAGGGGAGGGGGAGGGGGAGGCCAAGAAATAAGAGAGGAGGAGGAGGAGGAGCGGAGGAGGAAGGAGGAGGAGGAGGAGGAGAGGAGGAGGAGGAGGAGGAGGCGAGGAGGAGGGAGGGTTGATGTGAGGTGGAGCAGGGTGAGGAGGAGGAGAAGGAGGAGGAGGAGAAGGAGGAGGAGGAACAGCGGCGTCTGAACGACACTACATAGCGCCACGAGCTATTAGCTTCCAAGGAGAAGGAGGAGAGGAGGAACACCGAGCACGGAGGAGGGCCGAAAGCCCGCCGTGCTCGTCCAGTCTGGCGCCCGTCGGGTCTCGATCCCGCTCGAGCGTCGAAGCCTCCCCTAGGGCCTCGGTTCTCGAGTCTCGAGGCCTCCTCGAGCACAGGATCGACCCCGGACATCCAACGTCCTGGCAGAAATTAGACCTACATGTCTGTAGTGTTGGGCCTTCGGTGGCCCTCGCTGGGCCCGCGGGCAGTGAAGCAGCGATCGGAGACAAGGAACTGGTCCCGCGGAGGGGTGGAGACGTCTGGAGATCCACGCTCTGAGGGATGCACGACGTCGGGGATCTGGGACTGGATTCGCAAGTGGCCCTTCGCCGGCGTGGCCTCTGCTGCTTTCGGATTCTAGATCTGGACGCCCGAAATGGGCACGGAAAGAATGGGTACAATGCCCAACAACAAATTTTGCCCCTGCCCAACAGCGGCCGCTGTTGGGCAGGCGGCCATCTCGTTCGTGCAGACTGGAGGGCGCGTTTCGGCTTCTGGAGTGCGTTTGTTTGGGCTCTAGGTGCATCGAACATCGACCCTCTGGAAGACAGCCTGGGCAGGTCGGACCCCGGGACGGGTCTGGGGAGGGATTTCGACGGCGAGTGGCCAGCATGGGCCTCTGGTCAGGACGCCCGAAATGGGCACGGAAAGAATGGGTACGATGCCCAACAGCAGGTCCTGCTCATCTTGAGCAGTTCCTGCTCCTCCTCCTCCTCCTCCTCCTCCCTCCTCCTCCTCCTCCCTCCTCCTCCTCCTCCCTCCTCCTCCTCCTCCTCCTCCTCCTCCTCCTCCTCCACCCAACAGCAGTTCCGAGCAGGATTCGCTGTCCGCGCCGCCGCGGCCTGTGTCCGCTCGAGACAGAAGGCCGCCCGCTCAACAGCGGCCGCTGTTGGTCTGGGACAACATTTGTTGTTGGGCATTGTACCAATTTTCCCGGAAAGGGCTCCGGCCCAGGGTTCTCTTTTAGTAGGTAAACCTGTCCCCCGGTGCCAACTTGAGGGAGGCCGGCGAATTTTTTCCCTGATAAATAACGAGGTCGAAGGAGGCCGGCGAATTAAAATTTGAGGATGTCTCGAGCGAAACGCGTGTTTTTGAAATCCCGATCGATAAATCACAGGGTGCGGGCCACTGTTTCGTGTGTTGAGGATGTCTCGAGCCCCCCGAACGCTTGGCTCCGCAGAGTTTGCGAGGATGTTCTCGAGCGAAAAACGCTTGTTTTTGCAGAAGCGACCGCGACGCGGAAAAGCGCCCGCGCGAAGGAATTTCGATGGATGTCTCGACTAATCCTTTGTTTTTGTACGAATTTCCTGGAATTTTGGGCAGGATGTCTCGAGCGAAATGCCACGACCCCACCCTAGCACGGACAATACCAAGCACGGACCACACCACAGCACGACCAGGACCCCAGCACGGGACCCCACACCAGCCACGACCCCACCCAACACGACCATACACCCCGCACGACCCACCCAGCACGACCCCCGACACCCAGCACGGACCCTACCCCAGCAAGACCACACCCCAGCCGACCACACCCCAGCACGACCACGCCCCAGCACGACCACGCCCCAGCACGACCACGCCCCAGCACGACCACGCCCCAGCACGACAACGCCCCAGCACGACCACCCCCCAGCACGACCACCCCCCCAGCACGACAACCCCCCAGCACGACCACCCCCCAGCAGGACCACACCCCAGCACGACACTCCCCAGCACGACCACACCCCAGCCACGACCACACCACAGCACGACAACACCCCAGCACGGAAACACCCCACAGGGACCCCACCCCAGAACGACCCCACCCCAGCAAGACCACACCCCAGCACGACCACCCCCCAGCACGACCTACCCAGCACGACCCACACCCCAGCAACGACCAAGCGTCAAGCACGACCAGGCACCAGCACGACCAGCCCCAGCACGACCACCCCCCCAGCACGACCACCCCCCAGCACGACCAACCCCCAGCACGACCACACCCCAGCACGACCACTCCCCAGCACGACCACACCGCCTTGGTTGAGTGGTTGCCTGTCGTCGTAGAATGTTTCGTGGGGTGTCTCGTGGAATGTTTCGCGGGGTGTCTCGTGGAATGTTTCGTGAGGTGTCTCGTGGAATGTTTCGTGAGGTGTCTCGTGGGATGTTTCGTGAAGTGTCTCGTGGGATGTTTCGTGAAGTGTTGCCCAGTTGGGTATCGTGAAAACGTGTTCCATGCTCCACTGTCTATATCCCTTTCCGGGTTAGTGGGTCATCATGTTTCCGTACCTTTCGGGCGTCCAACTTCTGGAGGGTCGGGCCCCCCAGTTTGCCGCCTTGCCCCCCCGATTCCCGTGCGATGGCGACGGCGATGGGCAAGGCGGCCTGCAACGCTCGCGCTTGAGAGGGAGAGGGTCGAGGGGGGGTCGAGGAGGAGGAGGAGGAGGAGGAGGAGGAGGAGGGAGGAGAGGAGGAGGAGGAGGAGGAGGAGGGGAGGAGGGGCAGGTGGGCCCCCCCGTTTTGAGCGGCTCGTGGCCAGAGATGGGGCGGCCACGGGTCCAGCTGCACGCGCGAGCGAGCTGCCGCCGCAGGGACATTTGTCAGGAAGGAACAAAAACACTCAGCCACAATCAATCGTCGGTCCCCAAGAAAATATAGGAAAATATGGGACTTGGGCGGGAAGACAAACACCCAGAAAATATAGGGAAATATGGTGAATCCTGTTATTTGTGTGTATTTATTTGTGTGTCCCAGGGCCCCTTCAATCTGGAGCGGTCCCGCCGGGGTCTCCCGATCGCCGAGTGCGGTGCGTTGGCGGCGGCGATGGCGGGCGGCACCCTCGCGCTCGAGAGAGAGGCTTGGCATCGCTCGGACGTGTGCATTTTTCCCGGAAAGGGCGCTGGCCCAGGGTTCTCTTTTAGTAGGTTTACCCCCCCGTTTCGACTTGAAGGGGGCCGGCGAAATTATTCTGCTTAAATAACGAGGTGAAGTGCTGATTTTCAATCGAAAAATTGCGTTTCGTGCGTGCCCGCTCGAGGAAAGTGCACCCCCCATCTCGGATCCTCGATAAAAAACAAGTTCCGCAGACCCCCGTTTTCCCTCGTAAAAAAGATGGTGCTGAGCGTTTTTCGCAGAATGTCTGGAGCCCCGACCGCGACGCGGAAAAGCGCCCCGCGCGCAGGAATTCCGAGGATGTCTCGCGCGTGCCGCGTCCCGCGCGGAGGAATTTCGAGGATGTCTCGACTAATTCGCTTGTTTTGTCAGGATGTCTTAGGATTTTGGCAGGATGTCTCGAGCGATACGCTTTTTTCCCGGAAAGGGCCTGAGCCCAGGGTTCTCTTTTAGTTGGTTTCCCCCCGGTTTTGACGGCTGTAGGGCCGGCGAATTTCTTTTGCGATAAATAACGAGGTCGCGTAGGGCCGGCGAATTAAAAATTGAGGATGTCCCTAGCGAAACGATTGTTTTTCAGAATTTGTTGAGGATGTCTCGAGCGAAACGCTAGTTTTGCAGAGTTGGGGATGTCTCGAGCGAAACGCTTGTTTTCAGAATTTGTTGAAGATGTCTCGAGCGAAACGCTGGTTTTGCAGAGCCGACCGCGACGCGGAAAAAGCGCCCCGCGCGCAGGAATTCCGATGATGTTTCGCGCGTGCCGCGTCCCGCGCGCAGGAATTTCGACGATGTCTCGACTAATTCGTTTGTTTTGCTAGGATTTCCTTGAATTTTGGCAGGATGTCTCGAGCGAAATGCTTGTCTTTCATAATTTGTTGAAGACGTTTCGAGCGCACCGCTGGTTTTGCAAAATTGGGGGGTGTCTCCAGCG